TGATCCACGAGCCCTTAGATGAGTCAATAACTGTTTATAAGATACGGTAAAAACCAGAATCACCTAAGTGTGATGCATTAATCGCTTTAAATTTCAATATGATAGTATCTGCAGACACGAAGAGATGGGAGAAGATTACTGCATTCAGCCTCTACCACTAAGTGGACGTCTCCTCGACTTGCGTTGAAAAGTCAGTTTTTCCTTTATCCATCTTGTTGTCCGCTTGATAGAGTTGCATGTACTAAAAAATTCCGGGCCTCCGAATTGCTAGACTCGCTTTAACCGTTATTTAGAGTAACCGGTTGAGTCCGCTGCCGAGATGTATAAGATCGAGTTAATATCGCCCTTCTAAACGGAGGTCCCAAGGCCCTTTCCCTCAACTCTCGCGCCGCCGCTACCGACTGTGATCTCCTTAGAATAGTGCCGGAGGTCACTAGATTAGGTTCACTATCCTCCACAATATAGATACGCGGGAAGATTACGAGCAGTTCCTCATCTGCTGTAACGTTAGTGGTAGAGGTAGAAGTATGCTCCAGTCCGCTAGAAGCAGCATCCTCAAAAAGTATTGTTTGCTAGTCGAAGCCTTTAAGCTAGGCGGGCTCAAAATTGGGCTCTATTCTTGTTTTAAGGCGCTGTATAGTTAGCTAGACATTGCGGGCATCGCTAACAACTCGCTCTAGATCCAATCGAAACCTCTTGACCTATTCAGTGAGGAGTAGATCCTAGACATACTACATCACCTCACAAATAACTCGTATAGCCCTCTCATTAGTGGTGGATGCTTACTTATCAGGAAATATGGATAAAAAGACTACGTAAGTAAATAATTCCTTTTTACTATATATTACCGCTTAATGGAGTAGGAGCGCTCGGATCCCGCTGTTTTCCTGCAGGATGTATGTAGGGTGAAAGATATATGCGTCAATCAATCTGGCTAAGATAGCTAGAACGACGGTAATACGCATGCGTTTTGCGGCTGGAGTATTCGTTTAAGGAAGAGGGACCTGATACTGGAAGCAATGAGGCTCTTTGAGTTTCTTCTAAGCACCCTGATTCTGAATGCCCCATTTTAGCAAATAGAACTTCAATATTTAATAAACTTCAACATACTTCAAAGGCGGCCTCCGAGAGATTCTCTCCAAAATAGGACCCTACCACTTGACAGGCGGATTGCTATAAGCGCTCCACTTCGTTAATACTACTTAGTCTCAACGTCTGCTATACTATTATTTGATTTTTTCAAGATAACTTACGCTATATTCGGGTCTTCCGTGCTAAGATGCCTTGTAAAACCCTTAAGCTCCGCTAATCTCTCTTTACTTGTACTAAAGTCTTTCTTGAGGGATATTATCATTTCCGTATAGCTACTTAGGTCACTTCTCAGTTTTGATTTTTTAGTTTCCGCTTGTCTTAAGCTCTTGTTAAGCTCTCTAATCTTAACATTCCTCTCCTTAGCATTATCCTCTAACTCCTTCATCTTAACAGCAGCTTTTTTGTTGGTATCCCTCTCTATAATCAGATAGTCCTTAATTTGGCGGCCTTAGGCCTTTAGTTCATCCTCGCTCTTCTTGAGATCTCGTATACTATCGTCCTTTTTCTCGAGGTCTACTTTAAGAGATTTAACTCTAGCTATAAGTGTGTTCTATTTCTTCTTAAATCTATTATACGCCTAGTTATATATCTATAGACACTTCTAGTTATAATTATTATATTCTATCTTCAGGTCTTGAATCTCTTACTTGAGTCTCTCTAGGTCTTTGTCCTTCGCCTAAGCATCCTTCTTAAGCCGAGGGATCTTATTAATAAACTCTACAATAGTTTAATAGGCTTTGTCCGAAGTTAAAACCCTAATTACCTTAATAAGGTTTTTAGCTATGTGGATAGAATCGGCTAGCGAAGCTAGGCCTCTAAGGCTATTAACTATAGTACCGGAAGCTGTGGCTATAGGTATTTAAGTCTATAAAGATATTATGGAGTGAATTTGCAGTCTTAAATAATAATATTGCAAGAGTTAAGATTCTAAGAGAAATTGGATCGTGAGCATTGTATGTGCAATAGCTCTCCACCCTATAAGAGAGACTAGTCAGTTGACAGGCTAGCTAGATCCATAGCTTTAGGAGGGGGTGTCTAAATTATTTTTTTCGATCATCGATAAAGCCTGCTCGCTTCTCGACTGCATCTTCGACTAACCCCGATTTCCGGATGTATCTCACCTATAATTAATAGAACGCCTATCCAGGCTGCTGTCACGGGAACTAGAGCTCTATTACTGCAATAATGTACTTTTAGGAGGCGCCTGGCACCGAAGTTATAACTTATTTAGCAGAAAATCCCTTAATAGTCATGCCTACAGCGTCTTTTTATAGTTAATATGTACAAATAACGAGCTATGTAGACTAAACCGACTTCTGTAAAGTATACTACGAGACACCGAGTCTCCGGCTAGGGTAGGTTAGCCTCGCCGCCGCGAGAGCGGCTCAGCCGTATTAATTTCGTTAATAGAAGTATGGACTGTATAGCGTTCCATGCTTACCGTATCGGGAGGTGGAATAGTTCCTGCAATGCAAAGTAGTGGGATTGTTGTTAATGTGCTACAGCTATAGTAGCTACTGCATGTGTCCCGTTTAATTGGCGGTTCGAAGCCGTCAGAGCGCTAAGCATCGCGTTTACGTGCAGCTTGTGGATATTCGAGCATGCTATAGCTAAACTACCTGTGAGTTTACCTAGTAAAGATCGTCCATTTTGCAAGAAGAGGCAGACGTGGTAGAATGTGATTCAATAGATATTCTTACTAATAGAAGCGACAGTCGAAAATAGATTCATGCTATATAAGCTTATAGATGCGGCAAAGCCGCTCACGTTCAAGGAAAGGCTTAAAGGGCTAGGTAACCGCCAGCAGAACGGCAACGCGCTTCTATAGGTATGTAAGTATAAAAGTATTTAGGAAAACGTGGTTTGGAGCAATTAGCTGTATCCAGGCAAACACGACTCTATAAGAACTCGGATCGAGGTAGATCTTCAACATGTTAACTTAATAGGTGGTACCGAGTATCCTAGCCAAGCCACATCGACGATAAGCATAAGTTAGAATCTATTGTGAGACTAGAATGGCTTCGCTACGGCCAGTACCAGGTTAAAGTCCAAGGTCGAGCGGGCGTGGAAGGACCGCAGGGTTTCCAGAAATGCATGGGATGTCTATAAGCTCGATCCACTAACTCCGCCATCTCATTCATTAGCTGTACGCTCCTCTAAATCCGTATCCTCTGTTAATAATAGGAAGGTATCGGTTAATGAGGAACTTACGGTAGCCTGTTCTTAAGATTATCTTCCGGGAAAAGACCTGATGCTGAAAATTGACTCGGTGTCGTTCAATGAACTTTAGCCTTATAGTTGAATCTGAGGGCAAAGTAAAGGGTCCAGGTTAGCTATTATTCTTTATATAGTAAAACTTTGAAGTCTTTTACCCTCTAAAACTTCCTCACCTGGTTCTTTCGCATTCCTGGGCTTCTAATAAGCTCGAGTATCAACCTACCCGATTGCATACATAATTTTATCTATGGAGACAACTGGAAAGACATATATCCACGTGTCCCACTCTATTCCCCCTGCACTGTTGCCACGGTTTCGATGTGTAAGTTAGGCAACAGTCTATTTCCTTGTAACTCGAGTTGTGTAGCGTTATTATTGGAGGAGTGCCCATTATTGCAGCTATGGACCGGTCCGCTGGGATTACATGCATAAACACAACTGCAGTAAAGCGGCTCGGACCATAATGCGGGGTAACAGTGAAATCGTGCCGCTAGTGGTGATAAACTCGGTGAACTCTCTTAACCGTGTTCTAGCCAAACTTGCTGTTTGGGCTTAGCAACCCTAGACGATACATCCTTCTTAACACGCTCAGCCATCTAGCGCAATCCTGTTAGAGTTTTAGATTAGAGATCTGTTAACGCCGAATTATGCAAAGTTGCACAAGCGATGGCCGCGCGGTTGGAAGTAGGTGTGCTAGATATTATTGAGGCACCTAAGATTTAGGATATCTAATCTTGATTGGAGGTTTCACGGCTAGGTTTAGTGGTAGAGCGTACCTAATCACGGGTGTAGCTAATCACACTCCGCCACGATAAGTTCCCTCTACGGGTAATAGGGACATTTCCCCTTAGTATTAGAAGTTCATGCATGTTATTGCATTTCTGGTCGTAATAGTTAATATCTACTTAAGTCGAAATCCTTCACGACTAGTTTGTTAATAAAGAGATAGCGCGGAGATGCGTTATAAATGGTATTAAGCTTCCAGTCATTAAAGCAATTTTATGGGAAAAGCAATAGACTAAAAAGAATAACTCCTTATATAATGCTGTAAGCATCTCTTCTAATAGCTCTAAACGTTGCTATTTTAGTTAGAAGCTAGTTTTAGCTCCTTTGAGTTAAATATTGAGTTTTTAGCTTTAGTTCTAGAGCTATATTGAGCTCTATACAGCAGGCATGGAATATATAGAGTATAGCGCTATGTAAGCAGAGAGAGGTGTCAGACATACGAGTAACATGAGCGGTAGAACTAGCTAGAGGTAGAGCTCGCTAGAGTACAATATGTATAAAGAAGGTAAATAACTTAAGAAGCATTTTAGGAAGGTAGAAACTAAAGATCTGCGAGATACAATTCGTATAGTATCTAAGACTGTAAAATAGTAGCATTAAATGACTTAATTAATATTGAAATCTTTATTAGGGTAGCCTGAACGCTAAACTAATATAAATGTCAGACCGATATAAATATTGGAATAGAATAGATATTAGAGCGGTATGAATGTTTAAGCGGTAAAGACGTTAGACTAATGTGAATATTGGACGAGTATAAAGGTTAGAGTAGTATAAACATTAGAGTGGTATAAATACTAGAGTGGTGTTAGTAAAAATGTGTGTCTCTGTCTTCTACATACAAGCAATCTGACCGCAATATATAGTAGAGATTGTGTCTTCTGGAACCTTCGACCCTGCTTTCCCTACAGAGTAACAATCTGCGTCTGCCGGAGGAAGATGACTGTACCTTCATATTCCAACATATCCCTCGAGTACTTCCATGCGGGGCCTTCCTGTGTGAAGATGCCATCCCCGAACATAGGGAACGTGATATTGCGGCGTGGTCCCATACCAATATCTATTGGGCAGGTCAGCTTCTAGCTATAGGGACGAGTCTAGATAAACAAGATAAATAAAAATCACTTCCGAACCTTTAAAGTTGGCGGATAGAAGGGCCTCGAGATTGGCGGGTTCTATAGTGCTGAAAGCTTTTATGCCGAGGAATACTTGTTCAGGAGTACTCCCTATTTGCGGGAAGTGGAAGAGGAAAAGCTCCATTTAACGAGACTCGCTGTCCGCGCAAAATATCTGCTCTAAACGGTCCACCCGAGTTCAATTAAAATCCCCCCACCTTTCACTTCATCCGGCCGGGCCGACTATTCTTCCGCCGAAAGTGCCTTACCAAAATCTTTAACTCTATAGTACCAGCAAGTAGTACATCAAAAACACCACCTCCAACACCACGTACGTAATGTCAGACGTCGATCAAGGCTGGACTAGGGTTCACGGTTACGAGGAGAGCTAGGATGAGTCGCCTGTTCCCACCGCCACGAACCCTATCACGTACAGAACGACGCTCACTAGAACGCGCACTTCAACGATCCGCACGACGCACTCCTACCCGACCTCCTACACCTCTACCTGTACCACAGCCAGGTCATCCTGACTATATTGGAGCTATCGAGAACCCCGCCAAACGCTCATTCCCTACGAAGGAGGCCGCCTACGAGTATATTCTTGAACACGCGCTGGAAAACGGCTATGGAGTATCGAAACTTGCTGATAAGCACACGAAGAAGGGCATTGTTAAGAGGGTTCGTTATCTTTGCGACCGCAACGGCGACGGTAAGACAGTAGCAACGAAGAGACTTGGAACTGCGACGCTGGGTTGCGTCAGACTGTTTCAGACTGATACTCAAAGTCGTTCGGTTCGTTACTGATATTTATTGCGGTTGAGTGGTCTTGCTTTCCTGGCATCGCAGTATGAACCGAGTCCGCTACTCTATCTCTCTGCTCTTCGACCAAGTGCGGGTTTGCGTCAAGGAATCTGAAGATTGGTGGCCGCGTTCGTTCGTTAATTAGGGATCGGAAGCAGAGTGGATAACGGGTCCGCAGATTGGTCATATATAAGCACTCGACGAGCGACATGGCAGCCATATTAGCACCTGCTGGCGGATAGCTTGGTCTCTAGGAAATTCATCAGTGAATGCTCCATGATCGTTCTTGTGCTTAAACAGCAAACAAAGCCCTTCAAGAGTGTATGAGTATCCTCTACCCTTAACCGGGTGGTCGTCTGCGTTCGAAGGCTTAATCCCCCTTCCACGCATATTGTTGTCTCTGACTCATTTGATCATTCGAACAAACGGGAGCAGTCATGCGTACCCCATTCACCCATGTCATACCCGCTTGATGTCTCCTGGGCGAGCCCTCCATTGCCTGTTACGGTTAAACTGGTTGGTTGATTACCTGTTTCGGTCGAATCTGGTGTGAAGTGGTTAGGCGCGCAGCTCTGGATGTATATAAAAGCTGTCCATTATTCCTCCTGTTTTTGCTTCCTCTATCCCATTTTCCATCCACCTCCGTTTGACCCAAAAATTAGTGCCCGATCAACTTCTTCTTTAAACAACCTTGCATTCAATTAATGACTCAATTCAGTCTTTTCCGAGATGACGATGCCCGGTCAACACCCGCGCCGTGTGATACGTCCCGAGAGAACGCCGCTCAACCTATGTCCTGATCGGGAGTATCGTCGCATGTACCACTCGCAAGGTCAGGATGCTCCGGCATGTCAACGATCACCGGGTCGAGTCTACGACCGTGCGTCCAACTCGCAAGGTCAAGATAGTCCGGCTCATCAGACGACCGGCATCTCCATGGAGGTTCTGTTCGCGCTTACGGCCATGCGTACCGAGATCGATCAGCAGCATCACCGGGACTTGGGTACCGCTCAGGACACTATCCACGCACTCGAGGAGGTCTGCGTACTGCGCAGGGCGGAATCCGTACACTGCAAACGCGCAACGCCGAGGCTAGACCGGACAATCGAGTTATCAACGGCCTCCAGGTAGTGTTTCCAATAAGTAGGTGGCAGTATATATTTGTGCCTAATTGGGAAAAACGGTCCAATACCGCCGGTATTTCGGTGATTTGCTAAGGTAGTGCTGATAGTCTAGATATCGCCCTGCCTTGCGGCCCTTACCAAGGTGCTAAACCTTAGCTATTTCCTCAGCCAATCACCACTGCGATTATATACCGGTCTCATAGACCTCTATCGATGACACTAGCTAAGAGCTTTGATACCATGGTTCGGCAGCTCCGGATAACCTCTAGACGGCTAGCCGCAATACCGCCAGTATTGAAGATCCAGTACCGGTCCAAAACAATCCAAATATTCAACGACTCGGCACCGACTTATTGGAAACACTGCTCGTCGCTCATCTCCCTTTATAATCATCATTGTAGAATGAATCGTGCCAGTGCTGCGCTATCCGAAGGCCTTGATCCCACGGAGCCTAGAACTTACGCTGCCCTATCAAAATACAGTAAAGTCTCTCGCACTACCCTGTGGAATCGCGTATACGGACGACCATCGATAGAAGAAAAGGCGATAAGCCAACAGTACCTCACCCCGTCGGAAGATAAAGCCCTCGTTGAGTACTTGTTACGAATGTCTAATAATGGTTTCCCTGTCCCTATTAAGTATTATGTTCGTTAGCGTTCATCATCGCACGGCAGCGCTCCTCTGCCTTCCAGGACTCCCGCAACCGACGAAACAATCCGGCCTCCTGGTAAGAACTGGCCTCAAGCTTTTCAGAAATGCTATCCCGAGCTGAAAGCGAAAAAAGTTAAGGCACTAGATTGGAACCGCCACGATAATAACATCTATGATAAGATCACACACCGGTTTGAGGTGATCGGGAAGGAACTATATGACCCGGTCATTCTACCGGAGAATGTCTATAATATAGACGAAACAGGAGTCATGTTAAGCATGCTCGGCTCCCTTAAAGTCCTTATAGGTAAGAACGATCCGCGAGCTTACAGAGGAGTAGGTGTTAAGCGGATAATAGTAACTGCGATCGAGTGTATCTCCGTAGACGGTAGGTCTCTCCTTCCAACAATTATCTGGCCAGCCGCAGCCCATCGGAGCACATGGACAACGTACCCTACCTCCAGATAGCATTTTGCGTGTTCCCAATCTGGACACACCCACTCTAAGATTAGCTTAGAGTGGATTAAATACGTGTTTAATCCCTAAACTAAAGACTGAGCGAATCAGAAGCCACGGATCCTTATTTACAACGGCTTCGGGACACACGAGTCGCTCGAAATCATGGAATATTGTTTCGAAAACAATATCCTCCTCTGCCGCATCCCGTCTCACACTTCCCATAAGCTCCAGCCCTGTGACGTCGGAGTCTTTAGCCCACTAAAGGCTGCATATCGCGAACAGGTCGAACGGTTGTATTGAGGAGGCGTAAACACAGCCGGCAAGCAGCATTTCACATCCCTTTATAGCCGTGCACGGTAATAGGCGCTCACCCCTCGAAACATCCAGTCCGGCTGGTCAAAGACAGGTTTGGATCCGTTCTGCCCAGACAGAGTACTCAGAGATATCCAGAAACCACTAGCTGAACTGTACGTTCCGACTGTCAATGAGGTGAAGGTGGAGTGTTGTCCACAAGGCGAAATACTGCAAACGCCAATGATATCAGAGGCTCTTACCCTGCTATAAAGCCGAATTGAAGATGATGCTTAGTTGCTAGATAGTCCTAGTAAACTCCGCTTACGAAAACTAGCGAATGCCGCCGAAAAGGCTTTTGCTGAACACGCCCTCCTTCTCGACGAGAACCGAGTCTTGTTCGAGCAGAACAACGAAAGTAATATTCGCTAATCGACTAGGTCAACGGTGGTTGGTAAGGCGAAAGTAATAAGCTATGAGGACATCGTCGAGGCACAAGCGAAGCGTGACGCGAAAGAAGCTGCGGTGGTTAAAGGCAAACGCGGTCGGAAGCGTAAAAGCTCTACGCCAGTGGTGGCGCGGGCTAAAAGGACACGGAAGAGTGAAATGGAAGTCGCGAAGGATGAAATTGAAGCGCTAGAATTTGGGAATCACTGCTCTGTTCTCCAACTTTGATGTAGATTGGTTAATGAGGCAGGAAAACTTGCGCACTCTTTCGCGCGCTGTCACTGTACGTTAGGGAGTTAATCTACGTCGCATTCTCGGCGCAATGGTACAGGAATTGCAATCAAATATGATCCTAAGAAGAAGCTACAACGTCTTACAGCATTCGCTATGTGTTTCTTAACACATGTGGCAAGACGTCGAGGTATTGGTCGGCCGATGTTTCTGTGCCTTGAGGAACGAAGAGACGAAAAGGCTCTCCTGCTGCTACCAGAGGTGACGCAAGAGAGAAACAGCCTTCTGCCCACTATGGCGCCAAATATGGCAGCATCTCAGCTCCAGGTGATTGGTGACATGATACTCAGTAGGTCTCTTAAGCAGACTGAGATGGCTACTGTTCCTGGCTGCAGTGAACGCGCGATTCAAAGGATAGCCTCCAATCTCCGAGAATAGATCCCCCATCTGGTCCCTGCCACTTCTTGCAGCGCCAGGTGTTCTCTGGTCCATCGTAATCCGCATCCCGGCGAGACAGTAGACACATCCATTGCCCTCTGATCTCCTCTTCCAGTAATCTTCATTCTCGCCAAAGTCTAGTGTCGTCTAAAGATGTGAGTATCAGTGGATCGCCTTCAGGCTAATTCTAGCTTCAGCAAACCAACATTTAGATCTCACAGCAAATCCGCTCAACTCCGCCGTAACAATATTACCATTAGCTAGCGTTATAGCTGCTTCAGAAGAACCTTGGGGGATACGATTGAGAGTATATGTGCTCTCCTCAAACAAGTCTAAGACATGATTTTCCGAGACGGTCGATTCCCCTTCGAGGTTAATGAAACTGATCCACAAATTAGGGTCAATTCCGGGGCCGTGGCGGTTGCGTAGAACGCATCCTCCAAGTACGAGAGCAAAATGGAGATTTCCACCCTGACTGAATAAGAGAACAGCATGTACATCATTGCTGTCGGAGCAGACGATCCCTCTTTGGGGGTACGATGTTTGTAGGACGGCCGTTGAGGAACAATAGACTCTTAGAGTATACTGACGTTCTATGTGGTTATTGAGTCTGATGAAAACCTTAGCGCTGAGGAATTCGGAATAGTCAGAAGGCTCAGACTTGACTTGGAGTGCTTCCGTCTCTAAGTCAAGCAGACCAGTATACCCCTGAAATCTATCCCAACTAGCGAGCTTCGTCCCGTCAAGAGTAGTAACAAGAACTGGCTTAGAGAAACGTCCGAAGTAATGATCACTCCAGGCCCGAAGAATTATAGCTAGGCGACGCATGCTTCTTCTACCGACGGTGCAATCAAGAACGGCTAGCACGAGGGCTTCATCCTCGAAGCATTGTTGGGAAAAAGGAATCCCGGTTTTGCGTCGTGCTGGCGAAGAGTATTCTGTGACCACGAGAGGCAGGCTTATGTTAACGCCTTTATTGTGCGCAACTGGGATAGTCCGGTTTTGCGTATGAAGACGTGGAAGAGCCACGACATTTCGGCTATTGAAGAAGTCTTTTGGAGTCTCGGCTAGAAGCCCTAACAGCTTCTTAGCGCTGGTGGCGCTGAGCTCGTCCTGTTCCCACTGGGCAACTCCTCGCGTTTGCTCAGGTAAACCCCATGCAAACAAAGACTGATCGTCCGACACTTTCATGATTTCTTCCTGCAATCGTGTAAAAGCCTTCTTTCCCTCTCCGTATAGTAAGGGTATGTTCACATCAAAGAGGCCGAGAAGACAATACGCAGCATCCTCAATTCGAGTAGTCGTTCGATTGGCGGCCCAAGACATCTTCTGTGCGACACATACCGACTCCAGATCTCCCAACAAGAGCACTTCTATGTCAATGCCCGTGATATCCGAGATGTGGTGAGCAATATCTCGCTTATCTCCAATGCATTGCCACCCCTCTGAGTAAAAACGAACGTCTGCAGGAGCAATAAGTTCCTGTAGGGTCCAACCTCTGGTAAACCATCGACATTGAGCTAGTTGTGAAGCGTTCTGACAAGCGTTCTCGTCGTCTTTAAGATCCGATAGGAACACGTAGCATACCGATGCGTTCTGGTACCAGCGGTACATGGAGTTTATCGCCTCAGACATTTCTGCAGTGCCAGACTTATCAATGCAACATCTGTATTTTCAAGTGAGCCAGGGTTGGTAGAGTGGAATCTGAGGCTCACGTGTCAATCCAGGCCCAGTCTATGCCATCTTTAATTGCTTGGTCGCAGCAGAATCGGATTTTCTTGTAACCTAGCATTTGGCCAACGTTTGGATCACTTATATCCAAAAACGTCACTTCATTTTCACCCCAGGTATGCGATAAGATGGCGTAAGGAGGGATTTCATCGTTAGCAACAAACTCTTTGAGCTTGCGCGTTTTCGCGTTGAGTAGACGCATATTACTGATGCCTTAAAGAATTGAAGCGGCAAGAAAGCAAGTAATAGAAGGAGAGACTGTTTAAGGCTGAAGATAATCTAGTCGTGAAAAGGTCGTTGTAGATCGGAGAGACCGGAGGTGCGCGCTGAAAGGGGACCGGTCAATAATAACATGATCGAAGCCTAAAATCCCCCCCACACCAGCGTGGCCAGTATAAACGCCACTAGCGTCGGTGAAGCTTCGGAGTGACCCGGAAGGCGTTAATCCGCTCCGGTACACCCAAATCTACCTCGACCGCCGGCCTGCCGCCGGTGGGGGCCAAAACCCCGCCCGCCCGGCGGTCGGTCTACTGGCCACGCTGCCCCACACACACCTACACATCTCCCTGCAAGCTCCTTTGCTTAGCCTGTGATCAGGAGGCCGCCCCTCTGAATTAGGCGAGCCAACGCGGTTTTCACGTGAGCCTGCCCCTAAATGGCAACTCTCTCGCGACCACTTCGGTTTCAGAACTTGTGGCTGTGTCATTTTCATTCGAAGCACTTTTGAAATTTGCCCGTCTCTACATTGTGACGACTTTGTATTTCCCCTCTTTCGCATTCTCCCCAGTCCCACGATTCCGCGTCCTTGATCGTCGTCTCACTCAAAACTTCCAGCCTCTTCTCCGCCGCGGCCATGTTCTCCGGCACTGTGTTGCCTACGATGTCCCCCTCTCGCGCCTTGGACAGGAGCATGATGCCATACTCGTGTCAACAAGACTCAATCCGAAAAGAAGTGCCGAGGACTTCCTCGATGTGACTGAGAAAGCGTGTACAATCTTCACATACATCTCGACTTACCCAGATCCTCGCAACTACTGTAGGGTACTCGGGTTGAACCTCGGCGAGATCCTGCAGCGCAACATGCTCTTTGGTCCATTCTCCTCTTTCCCTTGACTCGATATTCTTTATGACTTTATGCGGAAGCACCATATGCTTGTCAATGTAGTAAGCAATAAGCTTCTTCTCGGCATGAGAAGCTAAGTACGATCTAGGGGGTTCCGACCCATCCCATTCGTGCGCAGACAAGTCGTAGTCGATCAATCTGCAGAGTTCTCTGACTCTGCTCATCCAGCGACGGTTGTCGATGATGTCTTCGATGGTAAAATCAGTCCTCCACCCGCTAGCTGCGCTTACTGTCGGAAATATCTTGCCTCGATCCAGTTGAGCGATTGTCTTGTACCGGTCTGGAATATTGTACGTTGTGTAGTGCTCATAGTAGGTGATTTGAAGTTGCGATACATTTTGGCCTAGGATGAAACGGCCACCTCTGGTTTCCTCGCTATTCGTCGCATCCCGTCCTGTCGTGTGGGGCTCGTAGGACTGTAATCTGATAGCGATAATTCTTCGGTTGCTCTCCGCCTCGTTGCTTTCGATATAGACACCACGTTTCTCTCTCATTCTCGTCGTAGCTTTGGACGGCCGGGCATAGAACAACGCCTTCCTTCCCTTCCGGTCCTCGAGGGTTGGGTCGGCGCCATTTGTAAGCAAGAATTCCACAACGTCCAATCTTCCCCAGAGTGCTGCCTCCATCAAAGGCGTCTTTGCCTTCTCATTGACGTTGTTGAGGTCCGCACCGCTTTCATGCAGGAAGCGGATCATCTGGGTGTGCCCTTCAACTGCGGCGAAAGAGACGCAATTTTCTCCATGTTCATCTTTCAACTCGATAAAAGGGTCGCTATAGGCTGTTATGATGTGCTTCGCATCAGCGATGTTGTTATTGATGCAGTGAGAAAAGAATATGTTAAGTCTCCACGTTGGGTCCTGCCACAGCTTTTCCAATATCTTATCACTCGAGTCTTCTGGCTCGGGCGTTCTCTGATTAACTATAGAGTCGTTAACGGCTAGAAAGGATAGCTTTTCCTGTACTCCTTCTACATCGTCACCATCATCTGCTGAGGAGGTGACTGCTTCGTCGTCAGAAGAAGCTTGTCGTCTTCTTCGTCGGGCACTACGACACCAACTGTTACAAAGCTACGGCTCTCTTTATCGATCTCGTAGGAGTAAGCTTCCTTCGCCGGACTCTCATACGGGTAGCACAGTTGGTACTGCCGCGACCTGGAATCGTTGATGCCTCTACGATGACAATGGGACTCGCGAGTTTGGCCGGACCATAGAGGATAGCCAACCCCGTGGCGGTGTGTATGTAAACAATATAGGCACAGAATTCGTAGCGAATGCCGATTCCAGTCAGTGACGAGGGCGAGTGGAATACGACGGCCGTTGCTGTCGAGTATTCCGTTTAAAGCAGGCTGTGTATTGGTAGACATCGCGCACGTCGCAAGACCTTACGTAATCATCTATTGATGAGTAGTCACACCTTTGATGATAGAATCCTTCGAAAATATTATCAGTAAATGGTTTGGAGAGAGTTCGGAGGCAGTGGGATATTCAGATCTTGAAATCCATGACCGGTGAGACAGCGGCGATTTCCATCACGTAGGGCATTCTGTGTCGCCCAGGAGAAGTTAGACTGCCAAGAGCCGTAAACTGTTTGATCTGTAAGAAATCATATCAGCTAGGGTAATTTACTGTACAGTATTTTGTAATACCCACGTGATATGTTTCGTTTTCCCTAATCTGTTCGAGATGGCGCTCATTGGTACCGCTCTGCGTAGTAGATTTGCCTCGTACACCACGTACATTGCTGATAATAATTTCCTAGCATCATAGTGAGATTGAGTAGCTTGTATTACTCCCTTTTATCAGTTTAGAAAGTGATAAGATAATGATGGTGGTATTGTGGTGAAGAATTATTATCGTGGCATCAAGGTACAGTCTGCGAAAACTAGGCGACAAGACGGCAATACTCGTGTAATTTTTAGGTAGGAGGAGTCTCTAATGCTGAGAAGTGACTATAGAACGCAGTTTATGTAGAATTATGAGAATATCAACGTGTGCGCAGATTCTGAGGTGCTCAGAAGTCGAAGTACCTCGGACTTGTCCATTTACACAGGGTATTCAGCCATATAGGGGAGGAGGTTAGAGAGTCGTTTCTGTTTCTGTTCCTCCCGCAGAGCCTATTTTGGACACTCTCCAAGGTTTAGGGCACCTTTATTCTTCCCTTGTTTTGACGGAGCCCATTCTGGACCCATATAATCCAATTTCGTATAAAGCTTTTCTAAGAATTGGATTTTGCGCTTTCCTACAAGCTATCTTACTATTAATACACACAGCTGATTTGGCAATTTCTGGCGTCGCTCTGTGTCTAGAGCCAGCAAGGCTGTTGAGTCTTCTACAAGTTTGGTGACATGCGTAGTGAGGTTGAGGGGCTGTAAGCCCACTGATGGCCACGTGTCATTATTAGCCATAGACTTCCGGGTATCAGGATGTAGCCGGAAGTCAGGCTAATAAGAGGGCACCAAATTAAGCTTGTTCTAGCGCGCGGTTGCGTGGTTATTCCAAAAATTCGTTCCGAGCTTTGTGCGGTTGATTTCCCCGTCGGCGCGTTGCTGGAGGACAAAAATAGTTCTCGTGCGGGCGATTCACCCGTCGCTTGGCATGTGAAAACGGCTGCCTTGCTTTTATGGAGGGAGCATTATAAATTCCAGCAAGAGAATTGTTTTCCTGCCTACAATGTTAAGCATGGTGGCTCTTTATCTTTGAATCCTCTTTGGGCGCTGTAACTAATTTTACGAGCCTGTCAAAATTGTGTGGTCGGCCAGGGACCGTTTTTGGGCTGCAGTACTATAACGGTTAGGGTCCTGATCAAGGAGGATGGGAACAGAGCCAAAATATGCAACAAGGTAGGATTGATATCACGAGTGAGATCAGAGCGTGTTACAAGAAGTGAACTTCTTATTTTGAGTTGAGCACGAGGTTCCTGTAAGAGGCAACCTCGTCTCCTATATACCGAAGGTTCTTATACATGGACGCTTAGAACGATGCCCCGATAGTCTCCGCTTGTCGTCCCCACCGTCCTCCGTTGTGGACGGTGCATCCTTCGATGCTTGGCGTCGTCCTCACCGTCCTCCCATCCTTGGCAGCCCCTCCCCGAGGTTCTGCCTGACCCGCACCGTGCTGTTCGTAACAAGTACTTTTCGGTCCGCGCTGCTCGCGCTTGTTCTTAGCAACTAAATCTCCACGGTACAACCCATCTATCCGAATGCATATGAGAAATCCCCAGCCGACGACGTTCTCCATGACTTCCGCCATTAAAGATGTGAATAGCCCTTAGCCTCTCTGTGTATATTATGCGTGCTAATGCCACAGGCTGTTCGGAATCTGCTGGATCAAGTCAACTCTGTGGTTTCAGGATTGCTTGAGACTGCACCCAATCAATCCGAGCTGATTTACGATGAGCCATGCAGCTTCTCTGCAATATTAAACTCTATATGGGCATGTAGCCTTGTAGTAAGCTCTGATACTTCTACTTGTGGCCGGTTTTCCGATCACAGCATCATGCATCCTACTAGCAGGACAACCTATATTAGCAGCAGCGATAAAGAAGCCCCTCCAGTTCCTTGTGCTGTTACCGCAGCGCCTTATTCCTTGTCTCTAACCTAAGACCTAGCTGACCTTCCGGCTGTCTCCACGCCTTCTCGTCAATTGTTACAAGATCTAGAGGCTGACGTATCTCGTTCAAATATATCACGTAGCTTGCATTCGGTCCAGAACTAAGAGCTTCTTCGGCCACATGCTGATACTACCCCTCGTCAGCGTTTAATTCATGATCAAGGAGTTCTCGAGCACTCTTCTAACCGTGGTGATAAAGATAAAGGAGAAACAGACGGAGAACCGAACGATAACATAGCTAAGAGTTCGCTAAAAAGAAACGATAGTGAACACGGGATGAAGCTGAGACGGAGAAACAATGTTATTTTGAATAGGCCGACAACTATAGGAGAGAAAGCGAAGAGAAAATCCAGCACTTATGTAACGAGTTGGGGTCCTAATCAAGGAGAATAGGAACAGAGCCAAGATATTCAACAAAGGTAGGATTGATATCACGATTGAGATTAGAGCGAGTTACAGAAGTGAACTTCTTACTTTAAGTTGAGCACGATGGTTCTCTAAGGGAAACATCGTCTCCTATATACTAAACTCTCTGAGTTCTGATAGCAGTGCTAGTAGTGATAGCACTACGAGCGCTGCTATCGTTGTGAGTATATTGGATGATGTGGCTACTAGCAGTGCTAGCACCCCGAGCGCACTCAGCGGTGCTATCACCCCTTGCCTTACTAAGGCCAATACCGGCCCCGGTGTTCCTTGGTCTAATAGCGTTATGACAACTTAAAGCCGAAGAAAGGAAAGTAGTAAATGGGTAAAGACGCATTCAGTAACCCGCAATAGCACTCCTATACCTCTTAAGGCACTGGAACACATTCTACACGATACTATTCAACCAGCTGAAATATATTAGAGCTTCATCGACCGCAGCAAGAGTGAAGATAGAAACGTGGTGTGGCTGCTAACTCGCTTCTTCGCAATCGCGAGTCCTAATGTATTCTATCAACTACATAATGTCTGCTTTGTTGTCCGGGAGAAGGAGGCATTTACTGTTCCTAAACATATAACCACTGTTGCTTAGACCATTAAAACGCTCGATAGGCTTAAAACAGCGGCTTCTACAAACTCGGTCTTACGCCGATATTACTTATCTTGTCTTATAGAGTATTGTAACGAGCGAGAAGAGTAATATAGAAGCTAAAGACCCAAGCGGGCAGGTAGGAGCCTAAAGGATAGGCACGACAATCTCGACCCTATAAATAAGGCCGTGAAACTGCAGGAGAGGTTCGGGCGCGCTTTATTGATAGCTTTAGCTGACCTTTTGGCTGAGGCTTACTCTAATCTGAAGTATGTTTTAAGATATCGAGCAGCATCGGACACCGAATATTAGAAAAGACATAAATCTCTCAAAATAGACTTAGCAGTGGATGCAATTGGCATCTAATGCAGTAAAAGTTATGTTCTAGCATCCTTACGCTAGTGCCGACCGGCGGGGACTACGGTATTCAGAATTATAAGTAAGTTTTCTAAATACAATCATTCTAGTCCCTAGCTTATTTAGATTAGAGTGGAAAAGTTGCCGGTTCCCTTATTTACGGTTTTCTTGGATGTTCTTAGTGAGCTACGTGAAGACTTTCTTTAAAAGGTTAGCGAGTTAGTCTCTTAACACATTTATGACATCCTATACAGAAGAGACCTGAGCTGGAAGTATGTGTTTGAGAAGATGGATAGGGGTTCTCTGAAGAAGGAGCCTCTTGACTCTCCTAGATTTATTCAGTTTTGCGAAATAAAATGAGATTCGGAGGTTCTTTACATCTTTTATAGTGGAGGCTATTAAAGCCGCTATTGTTAAAGAATTGCTACGTGCATTGGGATTATCGGCTGAACTATACTGGAGGAGATAAGGTTGCACAGAAGGATCTATTTCTCGACTACTACTAAGTGTCTAATTATGAACCGTTTAACCACGTGCACGAGTTTGCGCTATGGAGCTCTGGCCTCCAGCTACAATGTTGCGATTGTGTTGCAATCACAAAAATTCAGCTAGCCTATTTGGGCGGTTGGCGCTAGGATTGTATTGACAACCTCGAAACACGTTGTGCGCGAACTGGGGTGTGGCTTAGCGGGTAACTGAGTCGTGTCTCGCACGATGC